CAAGTGCTGATCCGCTCCGCCCCCCCCCCCCCCCCCCAGTCCTTTACGGACCCGCTTGGACTGCTCCTGCGGGAGCCCATTCCCGGGCAGCGGCGGCGGCGACGATCGGAACCAGTTCGATTGAGGCGGGGACAAGTCGAGCCTGTACATGCGTGTCTACATGAGCCGTGCGTGGCCGCCGCCGCCAACCCCCCCACCGCTCCAAGTTCAGCTTCTATTCTTAAACATACAGTCTACGGTGATGCGATACGCGTCCATCAAGCACCCCGGATTTGCATCAGCCTCCCCCCTCCCTCACTTTTCCACGCACGATCTGAAGAGCCCCCCTCCCCCCGCCACACCAGCTCTCCACATCTATTCCGAAAGCGATGCTGAATAGCACATTTCAAAGCAAGCCACGGACATCCCTCCCTCCGCCCCTCGCCTATTCACAGCCTCTGATTTCAGAAACTGGCTGCAGTAGCGATTCTCTGCTGCCATCAGACATGTCAATCCGGGGGGGGGGGTAGCCGGGCTCGCTCTGGTTCAGGATCCCTTTCGACTGGGGAGGGGAGGGCAGGGGAGAGGGGGAGAGAAAGGGCTCGCTGCCACTTGTTCCATTGGAGATTTGGTCATAACCCCCCTTTGAAACCAACGCAGACCAGACCACAGCCCAGCCCAACCGATAGCTAGCTCCTCGAAGACACTGCAAAAAGAAAAGTCTGCTGGAGACGACCGCGAACACTGGAGTTTAACCAAAGAAGGCAGCCCCAGGCAACCGCCAGATCTGCTGTTGTTGACATTAGGAACATTGTTGATGTTAAGAAAAGCAGGCAAAGGAAGTTGTGGTGCTCTCCCCCCCCCCCTTCATTCTCCCAGACTTATCGTCATCAACCCAATTCGCAAAAGGAGACCAATTATTTCCCCCTGTCATTAGAAGCCAACAGCGCACTCCAATAATATAGTAATTTCTTTTCTTGCTCGCTTCCAAAAAAGAACCAAAAAGAACCAAAAAGAAAGAGGCGGCTCGAACACAGTCGCTTTTAAAGAAGGTCCTTTTGGATGTTTTCACAACACAGAGATTATTTCAATTAGCAGGGCTTCCAGAGGGACCGAGAAGGAGAAGGGGGAGGGGAATGGAACAGAATGGAGATGTGTACCTTGGGTATTTTTAACTTTGTCCTCGGAAACTAACCCAAGCACCCTGGTTCCATGGTGGTGGGGCTGAAGTGAGAAAATGGTGGAATGGGGGGGAGGAGAGGGGGAGGCTGGAAGGGGAGGGGGGAGATCCGGAATCAAATACCTTCCAGGCAGCAGGTTCTCCATAATCCAGAATGGGTCATGACTTCCTCGTTCTTTTTGCTGGTTTCATTCTCGCCGGTACCTTTCATCTTGCAAACCCCTCTGGAGTAGAGCCAGTAATCGGTCCCCACAGCTATGGTCATGAGGCTGAAGGCAGCGAAAGCACCAACGGTGGTTAAAAGCATCTGAACACCTCTGTCAAAGAGCCCCATAATTCTTCATTATACAAATACCCAACCGCCTTCTGGTTCTTGGGCTGTGTGTGTGTGTTTGTATGTTAATAATAAAATAAAATAATATTTCCTCTAATAATAAGAATAATATAATGGATATCTATTTGAGATCGATAGAGAGAAATCTATATATATATAAAAAAGGGAGGTAAGAAAGCCCACAGAATCAGTGTAAATGAAGAGAGAGAAAAAATCACACGGGAAGAGGCTTGCCTTTTAAAAGAGAAACGTTCCGGCTTGTTAGGATAATATGTGTGTCTGTGTCTTAAAAAAATAAAATAAAGGGAAAAAAAATAGATAACCCCCCCAAAAATTAGATGCCTTAATCCCTTTTTCTAAAATTCTGGTCTCCAGTTTCCATATGTAATGGCTAATTTGGAGATGGCTTCCACAGTGAACAGGGGAACAGCAGCAGCAGTAGCGGCAACAGAAACAGCATCCTCAACACACTCTCTCATTATCTGGACCTAGACAGTTAGAGACTGTAAGAGCAGAGATGCAACCTTCAGTCTTCTTGCTTAGCTCTGCAGCCTGCGCCATGAAAAATCCCTTTTCTTCCCAGTTTATCTTCCTCGGATTTTCTTCTTCTTCGGGGGGTTGCGTTGCTTGCTTGGCGCTTGTTTCAGTTCTTTCTTCTCTCTCTCTCTCTCCGCTTCCTCTACCAACGAACCAGACTCGCAAGTATATCGTAAGCCCTTGATTTCAGCTGAACAGGTGCCGAGGTCTTGCCTTCCATGGCTTTGCCCACCACCACAGCGGCAGAGCAGCAGTTGTTATTGGTGGTGATGTTGTTGGTAGTGGTGGTAATATGGGCAGAGGAGGGGGGAGTTTCTCCCGGAGAACCAAGACGGATTTCCCTTCCTCCCCCCTCTCTGCAAAGCTTCTGAAAAGAAAGGAAACCAGGAGGCTTGCTGCAGGATAAGCTGCCCGTCGGTGTGTCTCGCGCCTCTCCTTGCCTTGCTAGTTCCGCTCCCACCTACTGCATTAACGTGGTGGTGCTGAAATGGACAGCTCCCCTGCACCGATCACTCCGCGGTGCTGAAGAACAGCTCTTTTACCTCTTTGCCCGGGGTGCTGCTGGGAAAACTGGGGAGGGATGGGGGGGGGGGGAGAAGAGATCTTCCTCTTCCTAGATCCTGTTCCCCAGCATCTGCAAGTGATAGTAACCCTCCTAGGTTCTCCGGAGCAGGAAGGGCGGGTGCGATCAGCCTTCCTGCTTTGTCTTTTCCCCGTTTTTACCCCTCTTCTTCCAAATTCTGAAACGATTACTCCCTTAGGCTTCAGAAGCTCAGAGAAAGGCGTAGCTGGATCTCTCTCTCTCTCTCTCTCCTCTCCCCCTTCCATCCAGCCTCCTTCTCATTCCAGTTATACGTGCTCAGAGCTCCAAATACAACCCTCACATCACAATTAGACCAGCAGAAAACTTCAATCAGCCGTTCCTTTCCCTAGGAGACAGTGAAAATGCAAGTTGAAGGGTAATTTGAAATATTCTCTCATTTTAGTTTTGGTTTTTTTCAATCTTTCTTCATTGTTCTTGGTTGTGAGCGAAAAACATTTGGATGTGTATGTGTATGTGTGTGTACTACTGATGCTGTACAACTGTGACTTTATTCCTCTTTTACTTGGATCTATGTTGCGTTTGTCTCTCTGGTTCTCTTAAAAGTCTTTCTTTGAGATATGGGGTGGTGTGCCCATCCAAATGACATTACGATGTGGAAATGGCAAAAAAGGGTAGAATAAAAGGGGAAGCTGACACATACATAGTTGATGTCTTTGCTAAGTAAGTGTCCCTTAAACGTCCTTGTTCTTATATTTAAAAGAGGGGTTTTTTTTAAAAAAAACTACTAGTTCATTAACAGTGTGATACTAATTAGTCTATTGAAGTCAGTGGCCTTCAAAAGATCTAACTCTGCTTAGGACTGCACTGCAAATTTACTATGTTTCCTGGGCCAATCCTAACTTGTTAGTCGTGGACTTGAGAACCTCTCTTTCTAGTACTAGCATTAAAACATGTTATCATAATTTCCCCCTTTTCTTCCCCCTTCTCATTATCCAAGGCTAATATATTTGATACCTCATAGTTCTTAACATGTTCATTAACGTAACAGCAGTAAAACAGATATAATGACTCCTCTCTAATTCCTGATCCAACTGATTTACCTTTATCTGGTCCAGAGAAGAGACCAGGAGGGCTGCTTGAGGTTGCCTGTCATTCTGCCAGAAGGGTGTGTGGGGGGGAAGCTGAGTCTGTTTAAAGAGGCTGGGACACATTACAGTACCAACATTCTGTCCTTCCATCCTTTTTTGGCTCTGTCTTTCAAGATGGAATTGTTTTGTGTTAGCGTATCACTCAGAGCTTAGTAAACATTAAAGAGCTTGCCTAAGAGTGGCTTGCCAATCTGCTTCACATACCGTAGAGGAACTCTCCATCACTGCTACGGTTTTGTTGTGTCACATAGATAGGAAAATACACACTTTGCAAGGTTTCTGGGGCCACCAAATTTTCCAATTAAAAATGATTAATTTAAAGAAATTAACAACTTTTTGTTCTTTCTTTGACCAGAGCTATGCTTAATCAATACTTCCCATGTGGGGGCAGCAAATCACGTCATTTTGTCTCCAAGGTATATATATTTTTTCCTCCAGAGAAGCTCATCCTTCATTTTCTAATGGCTCTAAACTTCTAACCCTTATGGTTGCAGTTATACAACGTGCTTTTCAATCTGTCTTTCATAGTCTTGCCTTTCCAGTGCTGCTAAAAAGGTCATTGTTATCCCTTTTCTTTTCTTTTCTTTTTTAAAAAAAGAACATCACTTTCTAGCTCTTCTGACGTATCCTCCATAGGAGTATTTCTGGAAAGGCCTAAGAGTGGTGGAAAATGCAACCAAGTCATTGTCGACTCTGTGAAGTTTTCCGCCCAAGAGACTTACACAGGTGGTTTGCCGTTGTCTGCCTCTGTGTAGAGACCCTGGACTTCCTCGATGGTCTCCCATCCAAATACTAACCGAGGCTGTCTCTGCTTAGCTTCTGAGATCTGTCAAGAACAGGGTAGCCTGGGCCAGCCACATCAGGGCATCCTAAGAGTAGGAGATGACAAGAATCTGGTTGTTCTAAGAAACCCATTGGGAACTTTTCATTTCTGATGGTCTACTACTTGATACTGTTGTACTGAGCTTATCTCCCACAGGGTGCTAGACTTAGGGATGTGACTATGGTTCAGTGGCAGAATACATGCACACATGAATTCTGGACATTTCCCATTAGAATGATCTCATGTAAGGAGTGTTAGGAAAGACCCTTCTCTGCCTAAGTTCCACTGCCAGAGCAGATAATGCTAGTGGTCTGAATCTTGCTTCGTATATGACAGACACACATACTCAAGTACATTCGTTCATTCAAGGGGGCTGAACTTGGTGTGACACTGGAAGATCTGTGAATGACACTCTTACTTTAAGAAGATTAATCAGCAAGTGAAGAATGAGGTGCCCTGGGCAGTCAGTAAGATGGTGGAGCTGGGGATTCTGGGTCCTCACTTGAGCAAGCCACACTCCAGAGCAGCTCCAGGTATCTAGTTCACTTCTGGGTGGCTTGCACAGAGCCCGTCGTTGGACTGTACCTGGGCAGTTCGTAAGATCCCAGAAGTAGACTCTGCCATATCCTCTGCCTTTAAACACTGTAAAGAGTTTTTGGGGACTGGGAAATGACATCTGTTATGGGAAAGAGATGCAATGTGGAGGAAGAAAAGGGAAGTAAATGGGTTGATTTATCTCCTGAGGAGACGGCATTCTTTTTCAAATCCTGGAAGCTATTTCTTATATACCATTTATTTCCTCAAGGGGGACACAGTAAAAACACAATATAAACAAATAGGAGAAGGGGGCAAAAGGGCTCCCAAGTGTAGGGCAGGCTACTCTAATTCTCTCACACACTCTCTCACTCCACCAGCAGATCTCCCTCCCAACTCCAGGCTATGATCTTTAGGCTAGGAACTGTTTGGTTCTTGCTACGGGTTCACAGCTCAACTTTAAAAGGTTACCTGCAAGAAATGGGCAGGTCTTACAGCATTTGGCTTGGCCGGGGGCAGACACCAGTGAAACTCCCCAGGGTTTATATTAAAAACAAATGAAAGTCTCATCAGCTCAGTTGGTTTTCACACAATGAGCATTAAAAAATAGAAGAGCCCTGCTGTATCAGACCCGTGGTCCATTAATACATCTATCAGCAGTGAATTCATTTCACATAGCAGCCAACCAGTTACCCTGAAGACCCAACAAACAGGGCACAGGAGCCAAGGCCTTTTGCTGATGTTGCCTCCTAACACTGATACTCCAAGGTTTGCTGCATTAAACTAAGGAGGTTCTCTTTGTTCACCATGGATAGCAGCCATTTATGGATCCATCCTTGGTAAATCTGTCCACCCCCTCTTAAGGCCATCCATACTCATAGCCATCATTACATCAACTGGCAGTGAATTCCGCAATTTAATTACTAATAATATTTCCTTTTGTCCGTCTTGAATTTTTTGCCCATCAACTTCATTGGGTGCTCCTGAATGTTAGTATTATGGGACAGGGAAGAACAATTCTGTTTATCCACTTTGTCTACTACAACAATAATTTTATAAGCCTCTTTCATGTCCCCCAATCATCTCTTTTCTGATCTGAAAAGTCCCAGATTCTTTAGTCGTTCCTCATAGGAAAGGTACTCCAACCACTTAATCATCTTGGTTGCCCCCTTTTTGAGGCATGGTGACCAGAACTACACACAGTCAAAGGAGGTTTCACCACATATCTATATAGGGACATTACAATATTGGCTGTTTTATTTTCATTTCATTTCCTAATAATCCACAGCATGGAGTCTGCCTTTTTCACTGCTGTTGCAAACAGTCACTATTTTCATCAAGCTATCCACTACTACCCCAAAATCTCTTTCCTTCCCTCTAAGCCCGTTCGGACCACATCAGCATATATTAAGAG